GGTGGCTGGAGCACTGCAGCGTGCATGCTCCTTGCAGCAGCGAGGACAGATGAGCCCGGCACGGGAACGGAATAGCTGTGAAATTCTGAGAAGTTTGGGTTTAGTTCCAAACTTTATCACCGACCGCTGCTGCTGCAGCAGCCAAACCAGTGGCTTTGATGTGAAATCCCAAACTCTGCAAGCATCTGAATCCGAACATCGAGGACCGGTTATGTTGCCAGTAACGAGCGAACTCTGTGTGAGCTCTGAAGTAACAGTCCATGCTGGGGGCCATGGAAAAGGAGTGAGGTCCTTTTTCCTTCCCACTGTAAAATCAATGCAGACTTCACTGGACAGCACTGTTCTCCCCTTTGCTCGCATTACAAAAGCGATGTGGGTGAGACTTGGGCAACTCGGGGGACTGCCCCCACACTCAGACCGGGCTGTTTGTGGCTTCAAGGGTATTTTCGTGTGTGCTCACGAAAGCACGTTGCACGAGAGGCCGGTGGACCCCAGCGTGGTTTGTGCGGCTCAGCACGCTGGATTGTCAGCACGGCTTCGTCGCAACCTCCGATGCCCAAATTGTGCCTCTGTCCCACAGGCTGTCCCTGAAGCTGTGAGGTGACCAGCTACGGTGAGCCTATTTTTATTTTTTTCCCTTAAGTATAAAATACCTGGCTACTACACGGAGGAAACCAGAAATATCTCACCTACCACGGGTTAAAACAGGAATGGAGGTTGACTCAAATACATTAACGTTGTCCTTGGCTTTGGATACAATGCTTTGTATAGGCTGGGAAAGAAATGTTGTGGCTAGTGTCTGTTAAGCACCCTTTCAGAACAGGCGTGGACACGTTGATGAAAACTGCAGCTAATAACAATTGTCATTTAGATGATCAGATAAAGATCATACAGAAAACTCTGACCGGGCGAGAAGCCAGCGAAACCCAGGAGTCTTTTAAGGTTTCGTCGGACTTTGGTTAATGAGATCAGTGTCTCCTGAATCGGGCTCTGGTGAGTTCAGTGGAAACACTGCAGTTGGTTTCACTTTGGAAAGTGTTATTTTCTCCATTAAAGCAGAAATGATATTTATTCCAGGGTGAGTGACTCAGCTGTGATCAGGCAGCATCGCCTCCCGATGGGCTCATTTC